ATAATATTGTTTCTAAAACCTCTAACAGCTAAGCCAAGCAGAGTTGTTATTAAGGTAAAGGAAAAGTACTACATGATAAAGTTAATTAACTTTTTTCTTTAAAAAAAGAAACAAATTTCCTAGCTTCCCACCAAATACAAGAACAATGTGGAAATATTCTGATTGTTTCTTTATCTCCGTAACTAAGCAAAGCCTTAAAGGAAACAGAAAAGCCATTTTCTGGCACTCCTGTGCCCACATAGACAAGGGGGTATTGAAATAGCTCCAGCCCAAGTTCTACAAAGGTGGGCAAGTTTATTCCATGATTTGCTAGTGGTGAGCCCCTGCCACTTTGAATTATTCCCCATCCTGAATCAAGTGCTGAGAACAGGAACCAGGAGCCCTGGTTCTCTCCTACCACCCACTGCCCCCTGTTAATAGATTATGTTTCACTGAAAAAGTAAACTTTCCTGAATGGAGAAAACGTTTCTATAACATTTAGCTGTACATCTCATTTAGTTTTATTGTCAAGATTCATTCCCAATATTTCAAGATGCATCTTTTACTTTCATTTCAAATGGACACGGTCCCCTTTGCCTCACTGAAATAAACAAGCAGACCCAAAGAAACACTTTTACCTTTGACCTTCACTTTACCATCCTTCCATCTTTTTTTGGTACAAACTCCATTCTTTACCTCATTCTTTAACTTGTCTAGGAATTTGATAGAATCTAGAACAGAGTCCTACAAACTGATTGAAAAACCAACAAAGACAAATCACAGAGGCCAATGATCAAAAGATAATTTTTCTCACTCAGCAGCCCAGCACTCCCAGCTGCTTCCATAGTGAGGCAAATGAAAGGCAAATGAATGCAACATCTAGACCTACATGTGCAGGTACCAGTGCCATTCCCTCCCCTCCCCCCGCCGCTCCCCATTGTTGCTGATGCATCTCTTTATTAATTGTTTTTGGAGAAATAAGTAGAAAGATAAGCGCCTTTATTAAAGCCATTTCACCAGAAAAATAATTGCCAACCGGTGTGTGGCTCCCACTGGTAGGAGCAGGAGGGCAAGGAGAGGAGTCCTTTTGTTGCTGCATCGGAAATATCGAGGAGGTAACTTCGTGGGAACCGAGAATGTTTAGAAGTGCCAAGCACAACAGTATTAGTGGCCATTCCCTCCATCCTACCTTCACATAACTCCCACATGATCCTTTCTCCCTCACCTTACACCATCAATTTAAAAAGTGACAGATTTTGAGGAAACACAGGAGCGCCCTCAGGATGGCTGTCTTCTGCATTATTGTCTTTAGGGAAAAGAAAGGGTTTGTCATTGTGACTAGCCAACATTTTAGGGGTGACTGCCCCACAAATTTCTCCCAGAGGCAGCGATGGAGTTTTTTCACCTTAGCATGTAATACGCTCCCCCACACGGCATGGAAACCGCTTGAATAGCTTAGAATCTGAGCGGCAAGCACGGGTCAAAACCATGGCGCGTCCGTTTAACACGTGATGGTTGCCAGTCAGTAGCCCCTGTGGCTAAGAACAAAAAACGCCTTCTCAAGGTCCACTAAAATGCCTGCAGAGGGCAGATGCTGCTTGCTTTCTGCCTACAATGGAGGAGGATATTGACCCAGAACTCAAATCTATACCCAGCTTAAACATTTCACCCATCAGCATGTCTGCGGTCACAAAACACTTCTTCTTTCTGTCACTTTGCGTTCAGGCTATTGATAAGATCATTTGGCTGAATCAGTTTGGGACCTGTGTAATATTGACTAGGAGTTAGAAAAGATGATCTGATGTAATAAGCCCAGAAACTACCTTTCAAAATGGACATTTATACTAAAACCAATGTGCCAAGGAGGACTCGAAGTACATCAGCAAACTTGTAAACTAACCCAACACTGCTTGGATGTCTCCCTCACCTTCGAACTGATTTTGGTAAGTGTAATGTTCATCTGCCACTATGAAACATTCTGTTATTAGCACCACAGTCTTGAGTGCTCCCTAGGTTCTTTCCTTGTTTTAGAGGCTGTTTGTTTGCCTAATGAGAAATAGACACTATTGTATAAACGAGCGCAAAATCCATCTTTTTCTCTGTAAACCTAACAGGGATAATACATAGGACCTGCCTCTATCACTTGGTAAGCACACATATTGCATATAATCAGAGTTGTTTATTGAAAGATCTTTGTAAACCACTAAGAAAATAGTTTCCTTAACTCAGCCTCATTTTCCTGTAGATCCAAATTATGTGAGGGCATGTGGGTACAGATTAAAGTCCACCTAGTTCCATTGATATTCTCCAAAAAACTAAAATCAGATCAGGTAAAGCTAACCTGGAAAGAAGATGCAGGGAGAACTGCATTTATTTAGAGGGGACAAACATCTCTTTGTCAGACCATGAAATGGCAAGCAAATTGAAGCTCAAACCCAATGACCATTTCAATTTAATGCTATAGGCATAGTAGCTGAATGGTTTGGGATTGATGGCAGGGGAGGTGGTTTGCAAAGAAAAGTGAATGAGAATAGTAGTCTCACTTAATAATAAAAAAAAGCCTCTGAAAGTTATTAACGTGAAACCTGGCAGTATATGCATAAAATTTATTCCAAAACTTTATGAAGTATAAAGGAAGGGAAGTGTTTTACATACAACTCAACTCAGTCAGTATAAGGTCTAGGTTTTTCCCCTTAAAACTTGGCACTATTTTTAAAAATAAAATAAAGATATTTCAATAATTAGAACAAACTATGAAGGTATTGTGCATTTCTGTTTTATGTAGATAATAAAATATTACTTTAACATAAATATATAAGGATCTCTGCGTTTTTATTTTCCCCACAAGCACAACCAAATGTACCAAAACAAAGTATTTTTAAAGAGACTGAACAAAAAAAATTACATCCCATATAGATTTTGCTCACCTACTCATTTAAAGCTACAGAAAAACAGTTTCCAGAACCTTTTTGCTTTAAAAGAAATAAATATACATTGAGGCAGGCCACTTAAAAATGATATGAAAATATTTCCCTGGGTAGCATTTAAAAAAAAAGAAAAATAGACAAAGAAACATTTAAACTATTTCTGCATTTCAAAAGACAGATATTAAACATATATACATAGTGGGAAGGTTCAGTGGTAGCTTTCATCTTAGTAAACCTCTGAGAGTTAGAGGAGCTATAGACACATCCCCTGAACCCCAGCTTCTAACCTTACCCACTTGGTAATAAGAATCTGAAAATTCATTTCCTCCCTTTACCCTTGGCTATTGCCCTGCTCTGGATTGCTTCACTAAAGGCCAGTCCCCACACCTCAGGAACAAGCAGTGTGATGCACCCCAAGCAGCTCCATGCCCATCTCCTTGTGACATTCATTGGGGGAAATGAAATACAGGCAAGTAAATATGCCCATTATAAGTCATCATTTATCTTGCAAAAACATTGAAAATGAAACAATCACTGGTGTTTGAAAAGACAATCTAAAGCATATTTCCTAAAACCTTAGCTACTAAGTGCAATGCTAATCTGATGCTGAACCATAATTTTATGGTATTGAGATTTAATTTTTTAAATAAAAATTTACCTAATACCTAACCAGAAAAAAAGCCCCGATCTTTTAAGATTAATAAAAAGTGTTTTCCCTTTTAGCGCCCTTTTGTGCTGATTACTTTTAAATATTTTAACTGATCACAGTTTAATGGCATTTATTTTCAATACAATTACAGTTTTGTGTGTTTTTTTCACCTCCACTTCCCAGTAGATTCTTTTGTTATGGGAGTTATCCGTTTTCCATCAAGATAAGGTAAAAAAAATGCACTTGAAACTATTAACAAAGGGAGAAAGGGAAGGACTGAAAATAGCATTTTTCCCCCTTCTATATTTGGCTTCTTTAGTGAAAGAGAGGGTGGGTGAAGCTGTCCAAGTCAAACTGGTATTTTCTGTAATGAATTACAGGAGAAGAAGGTATGGGACCTTAAATATAATTGATATACAAATGAGCTAGTGAAAATGAAACCAGTCTAGAGTGGAAACACTGTTCTCTGTATGCATGTGGGTATTTGTGTGCTAAGAAACACAGTCGAAGCATACACCATGAAGTTCCCAGATTATTTTCTTTATGTTTTTTTAAAGCTATTAAAGGAACAAAGTTTAACTGCTACTGTCAGCACAAATAATTCCTTCTAAATGAAGTTATTAAAACTGAAGGCAGAGAACTATACAGGGGGTGTCTGGAGATATGTATTTCCCTAGTTCTCTTCAAAGTGCCACTTTCTTTCTGTTGAAAATGTACTTAACCTCCACATATCCTCTGAGCGCTATCACAATGGGCCCGCTTGGTAAAATGAAGCAATCGGTCACTATCAATTTTTCTTCTTCTCCCCTTTGCAACCTCCCCCAGAAACACTGCCTGAAAACGAAGTTTACTTTGTGGCTGATAACAAAAAAAACCACAATGTTTGGCTCTCATTTTTGTATTCCAGAGTGGATTTTTGCCTTGTTAAAGAGGGTAGACCATGCACATTTCCTGAAAGCAGAGAATTATTTATTTTGAATGAAGCCAATCGTTTTTTGCTTTGGTAAAAGAAGCAAATAAAAGTTACACCAATGTAAGGGAGGAGAGGGGATCTGAAGGTAACCAAAGTTCACAAACAGTAAGAACAAGTGGCTACACGGGAAGGTTAGAAATGGAGAGTGGTCAAGAGCTGGCTTCAACTGTTTCCTCTGAATAAACAAAACAAAACACAAACCGCGGCAATTTCAAAATTAACGGTGGAAGAAAGAAAAATGTGTTCATGCATTTGTTCATGTAAACTTCAATTTTCTTGCAGTGCAAATTTATGTGGTTAGATTTTGCCTACGTCAAAGAACATGTGTATTTTTTCCTCTTTCCTGATGGGAATCCACACTAAATAAACACAGCAGCATGTGCCAACTCCCGGCATTAGAAAGCTGTGTTTTGTGTTTATCACGGCTTGGTAGATTTTTGTTTTTGGTAATTTATTTAGTTTTGCCAGGTATCTCTCTCTCTCTCTCTCTCTCTCTCTCTCTCTCTCTCTCTCTCTCTCTCTCTCTCTCTCTCCTTACTCTGTGAGACACTCCATTGCCTGGGTACTAGCCTGTAAAGGTCAAAACACATCATTACACCTGCTACCGTTTGGATAACCCAGTGCCTTCGTTGCTTTCCTTATTTTTTTTTTCTTCTTAAGGGACGGGGAAATAATAATTAAAATAAAAGAACAATCAGAAGTTAGAGAGGGAACAAGGGAGCCAGGAAAGGGCGGTGGGCCGAAGGGGAGGGGGAGCCCCATGCTCTGCCCCTCCCCCGCTCGAGTTCACTGGACGGGCGTCTGCACCCCGTGGTGTGGTGGCGTGTCCCTACTCCCCCCGTACACATCCTCGGCGCCCGGCAGAGTCCCTCCGGGAGGGGTCATCCTTTTCTCTTTCTGTCTCCTGTTACAAAACCAAACTCTCACCACCTCCTTCTCCAGCTGTAAGCTGTCCGCGAGGGAGGTGATCTCCTGGGCGGAGGGCTTGGGGCATTTGAGGAAATGGCTCTCCAGAGCCCCCTTGACGCTCACCTCGATGGAGGTCCGCTTTTTCCTCTTGCGCCCCTGCGCTGCGATCTTGTCTATGCTGGTGGGGCTGCCCGAGGACGAGTCCGCCTCCTCCAACCACTTGTTCAACAAAGGCTTCAGCTTGCACATGTTCTTGAAGCTCAGCTGCAGGGCCTCAAACCTGCAGATGGTGGTCTGCGAGAACACGTTGCCGTACAGGGTGCCCAGCGCCAGCCCCACGTCCGCTTGGGTAAATCCCAGTTTGATCCTCCGCTGCTTGAACTGCTTGGCGAACTGCTCCAGGTCATCCGAGGTCGGCGTGTCCTCGTCCGAGTGAGGGTCGTGGTGGGCGCCGGGGTGGCCCGGCGGGCCCTGCGGGGGCGGCGGCGGCTGCTGGTGCGGGTGCGAGTGCGGGTGCGGGTGGTGGTCTGCGTGGTGCGGCTCCTCGTGCGCGTCCCGCAGGCCGTGGTGGTGCAGCCCTGCCGGTTGCCCGCCGGCGCCCAGCATGCCGTTCACGGTGAAGCTGGGCTGTGAGTAGAGCAAGCCGCCGTTGGACGCTCCCATGGAGGGCGGGAGGTGCGCTGCGGCCGCCGCGCTCCGCCATGCCCCGGGCCCCGGGTGGTGGTTGGCGGCGTGGTGCACCAGATGCGGCGGCCGCTGCTGTTGCTGCTGTTGTTGCTGCTGCTGCTGCTGCTGTTGCTGCTGCTGCTGCTGCTGCTGGTGCTGCTGCTGTAGGGCGCCTGGCCCGTGCAGCTCGTCGCCGCGGCCGCCCTGCTGTACCACCACCGAGGGCTTGATGTCCGGCTGGCCCAAGGGGCTGGTGGACCACGGGGAGCCGTCGCCGCCGCCCCCGCCGCCACCCCCGCCCCCGCCGCCTCCACCGCCGCCCCCGCCGCCACCGCCGTGGGACAGCGCGGTGATCCACTGGTGAGCGTGGCTGAGCGGGTGCCCGTTGCTCTGCAGCGCGCCGTAGTCGCCCTGCACCAGGCTCTGCGCCTCGCGGTAGCCCCCGGCGCCCTGCTGCATGCCACCCGGCGGCTCGGTGTGCACGATGGAGGCGCTGGAAGTGAGCAGGCTGTAGTGGTTAGACGCTGCGGTCGCCATGACTCTCAGAGCCGGACTGAGCGCTCAGGTTAAAGGAGCCGCGCATTTGACAGTTACTTTTTCGCCTCGGGATCTTCTCTTCCCTCGCTCCCTCTCTCCCCCAGCGGGCAGCTCGACGACGCCTGCTCCGACGCCTTCTGTAGCTGCTCGTGCTATTACTGCTGCTGCCGCCGCCACTGCCTCTCGCCCGCCCTCGCTCTTTCTCCTCTCCCTCCTTCTTGCTTCGCTCACTCTCAGACTAGCTCTGCGCGCCCCCCTCTCCCTGTTCTCTCCAGCTCTCTCCCGCTCTCTTGGCAGAGCCGGCTTGCAGCGGCACGCGCCTGGGCCCCGCCCCCTCCGCCCCCTCCCATTGGCTCCGCGCCCTTTGATTTACGTGGATACCACTAGCAACCTCCCAGGCCGGCGCCGCTGATTGGCGCAGAGCTACTCCTCCTCCTTGCCCCCTCCCGGGCGCGGAGTCCTCCTAGCCCTCCTCCAGTGCCCCCTCGCCACTGATTCAGATTCTCTTAGATCTCACCTCCCCTCCTTCTCCACCCTGGGGCCTCCACCGCCCTTCTCCAAAGGGCCCCGCCCCCCATCTGTCTCCCCAGCCGACTGGCCAGGAGGGGGTAGGGGTTTGGGGGCAGGGGCTGGCCCCTGCGCACTATGGATCACAACCACTTGGAAGGATTGGGTGGGTGGATAGGGGGTGTCGGTCCACCTTCTTTTCCCTATAGGGCTTAGGCGCGGGGGGGGGGGCTGTTGGAGGGGGGGGAGAGAAGGAGGGAGGAAGGAAGAGAGAGGCTGAGTTGCACCGAGTCAGGAGGCGTCTGATTTTTATTCACCTTGGGACATATACATATCAGCGTCTCTTAAACCTACAACCAGACGCCAGACTTCCTTTCCCCACACGGTTAGAATTTCAGTGCGCGGATGCTTCTTGTTCCAAGGGGTGCGGACACTTTTGCCCTCAATAAAGGTCTTTCCCCCTCCACCCCGACGCTAGCGCAGGCTCTTTTTTTTTTTAGGTCCCAGGTCCAATTGTCTCCCAGCCCCTCCACCAGAGGCCCCCACGAGAGGCAGGCTTAGCCCGCGCATCAGCTTTCGAGAGCGCTGCGGGCCGGACTGAAAGCAAAACAAAACTCTGAAAGTCTATGTCAGATTCCCACACTAGGGCGCGCGCACAGTTTTTAGTTTAGAAAACTGGGAGTCTGCGCGCAGACCGTAGCCTTGTGCGAGGCTACAGGAGCGCTGGCAAGGGGTGCTCAGCCTCCCGGTGTGATGGAGGCACCGAGGGCCGCCCCAGAGAAGCCGAGCCTTCGGTGCTGCGTGAGCGCTCCCCTGCAATCCTGGCGCTTTTCGATGCCACTTTCCCGTTAGCTGCTTCGATGGGGAGGAAGAGTGTGTGACGGAAGATGGGCCGATGCTAGAGGAGCTTTCCTAATCAGTAACTTCTGCGGACGCGAGTGGGTGGGGTTGGTCTAACTCAACTCTCAGGCGCTCTCTGGCGAAGCTCCCTACTTCGTCTTCAGTCATGAACTCCACAGAGAGACTGCGGGACGGTGCACTAGCGGCGCCAGTCCATTCAGCACGAGCTAGACGCGCTGTCAGTTTCCCAGCCGAGCCGGGGCAGGTGCCTGCAGCAGTTTGGAGTCTGTGAGTCCGCCAGGATAGGCCTGGGCTCGGACCCAGGCGGAAGCATCGGGACTGCAGCGCAGAGCCAAGCTCACGGCGGCGCCTGTACTTCAAAACGAATCACAGGTTGCTGCCGCGGAAGGGCCAAAAGACCTCCAGGAACTTGATCGCGTTCCCCCTTTCACCCTCGGCCCCGCGCGTTGCAGCGCTAATGCCGGTGCTGCCAGCAGTCATGGGTTTGTGAAGGAGACCGAATCAACGCCCAAGGGGAGCACTTTGAGGCTTCTGAGCATCTTAATCGAGACACCAAAGTAGAGCGGACCAGAGAATTCATCATGACTAACGAGGAGCGGAGCTCTTTGGGGAGTGGCTGATCTGTTTATAAATCACCACATTGAGCGCCCGACGGGGCGAGGCACGTTGGCTGAGAATTTCCACGTGCCCTGTGTTTATGAGCGTGTGGGTGGGAGAGAGCGAAATGGGGAGGGGAGGGCGAGTCCACGGGCTACCAGCGGGACGGACCTGCAGCCCCGACGCGCGCACCCGCGCGGCGAGGCGAGGACACACACAGTGTGCTGCAAGATCGCAGCGAAAGCATGGAGCCACTCTGGCCACGCGCCTAGGGGCTGCTGAGAATCCGTTAACTTTGTCCAGCTCGGGAAAAAAAAGGAAAAAAGTCTGAGGCTCGGAGCGCGCCGACTCCGCGGCTGGCCCCGGCAGCTCCTCCACTAGGAGCGACGAGACTGGGCAGCTGCCTAGCCTCCCCAACTGTGGGCGCACGGCTCCCCTGGGGCTTTGGGAGCGCACTGGCCGCTTGCCAGCCGCGTCAGGTCGTGGCCTTCGGCGGCCTTCTCACTCCTCTCCCCACCCCCCACCACGCCTCTCCCTCTCCCTCTCCACCTCCGGCTGGGAGATTTCCAGCTCCCACAGATTGAAGAATCCAGCCTCCGGGAAGGGCCGCGTCCGGACACCCAGCAGCTCCCCTCCCCCTTCCGGGGCAGGTGTCTGCTTTTCTCTAGATTTGATTTCACATTTCTCTAGGGACAAGCCCCTTTGCAGCCTGTGGGGGTGATACACTTGATCGAAGAGAAAGGTTCCCAGATGCATCTCTGAGGGAACCGAGCAGCAGGACTTGGAGTCAGTTTAAAAGCTCCCCCACCCCCGCCCCCAACTCGGGCTTAGGGCGCTGATATGTGTAAGTGGAGGTGGGCAAGAATAGGCTGCACGTGTACATGCAAACTTCCTGTCTGCAATGGGACTTCACTGGAGATTACTGTGCCACGATTCATCCCATTTGACGTCTCGAGTCTCCACTCCACCCCCACCCCCGCCTCTTTTTACTTGCAGACGACAGAGCCGAAACGTTCCCAACCGGGTAAACTCTGGTAGTTCTATGAGGTTAACAAACCCCATAAATCCTCGGGAGTACACGAAGCAAGATCTACCCCGGGCCTCAGACTCCTTATCCCACCCCCGACCCCGGGAGCCGGGCCAATCGCCGGGAGGCGCGCACTGAGGCTCTGGGTACCACCTCCCCCAAACCACCCCAGCCTCCCCGCCAGTTGCCGGAGGCCCGGTTGGCGCGAACGGCGGGTACTGAGTAGCTTCGGCTTCCAGTCTGCCTCCGCTCGGTGTCTCCCTGGGGCTCCGGAAACCTGGGCAATCGGAGGTTTTACCTCCAGAAGGGGGCTTCCCCGTCCGTGGCTCTCCCTCCGCCCCCAGCGCCAGCGCTGGCGCCTTCCTTTGCGTCTGACCCCGCCAGGGCAGAATCGGCTGGTCCGCCTGCTTTTTTCCCCCCAAACGCATAAAAGAACGTTGAAGGTGTGTCAGAGAGACACCTCCAGGTTTTGATTTAGCTCATTCCCTTTCACTGTTCAAAGCAGCTGTACAAATACAGAGGCTGCTTACGCTGACGTGGAGAGGATTTCAAACAACCCTAAAATGCTTTGAACTGACAGGGTGTCTCCATGTCTCCCTCACTCCAGCACAGCTCCCCGAGACCACTCCCTAGGACAATGGATGAGCAGGCGGTTCCTGCGGGCCTCGCTGTCTCGGGAGCAGACTGCGGGGTCCCCTGGGCCCCTTCCTCAAGTACTGGCTCCGGGCACCTGAGAGGAGATCTTGGCAAGAGTGCCGGTCCATTCCCTTTCCCTAGGAGTGGAGTTTCTCTACTCAGTCCGTATCCTGACTTGGACTCGCCTGAGGAAATGGTGAGAACTCCCTCCTGCTTGCTTGGAGAGGAAGGAACTCAGCTAATCCGAGTTTAACCCAAAAGACCCGTATTTATCCCACATTGTCACACCTCAGAATGAGGCGGGCCTGTGTCAGTAGCCCCCAGCATCCTCACCCAAGGCCCCTAACGTTACCTCACCTGAGTAGCCCTAATGGGACCGATTTGCACACTCCAACTTGAACTCTAATTTATTAACCCGTTCATCTAGCAAACACACTCACACCCTATGTAAAATGTCATTTATTTATTCCTATATCCTAGGATTTGACAGAAAAACCACCACACATTGAGCTGACAGAACAGTTATGAAAATAGAGGTGAGATGATATTCACTTGATAGATCTTTATTTATTATTTATGCATTCCTGCGATAATAGAAATAGAGAAACAAAGGAAATTTTCTTAGGAGGTGGCTACTGGTATACACAGGTAAAACTGCCTTCTGGTGCTGTCTTTTAAATGTATCCACCCTGTTTGAATCCCTTCTCCTCCCTCTCATTCTCCTCCATCTTCTGCCTTGTCCCAGTCATTCATTTCCATCTTTCTTCTCCCCTGCTGGCTCCAGAAGCTGTCTGATTTTGTGGAGAGCTTCCCCATATTTGAATGGAACTTCTTTGCTAAGGGCCTACAGAACGTCAAACTGAGGCTCCCACTTCAGAGCTGCAGCTTTAAACAGCCAGGGCACACAAAGAGGCAGCTGGCTGCTTTAATAGAAACCTCCTTAAAGCTTCAAGAACTGCAGGCTTGGGATGCATTTATAAGCATGAAAAATGCTTTTCCAAGTTGCCAGTTCTTTTGAGAAACACAATCAACATTTACTGTTAAAAGGGACAGAATTTAACATTTTTAACTATGTAACAGCACAGCGTATCCTAAATTTAAAAAATATCCCATATAGGTTTATATGTTACTATCTATTCATACATTTTACAAGTTTCCAAATGTGCATCTGTCTCCATGTTAAAAGTGGTCTTGAAGAAGGAAAAGTTTTCTGGAAGTTTAAACTCTCATTCTTCATATGCTTGGCACTTCTGTTTGTCCATGCATCACATACAAATGATTATATTTTATCTTGACTACTGTGTCAACCAGTGAGATGTAATGTTGTAAGTTGACTATTTGAAATAAAATTACTTGAATTCGTGGATAGTAATTTCTTTCTGTTTTTATTCCAGTTCTGAATCTCATTATTAAAAATGACCCCCATTTGTAGTCCAAAGGTGAATATTTTATAGGCAGGCAAGGCATGAAGATTTCTAAAATCATATCACCCAGACAGTCTAGCTGTTTCAGAGATTCTTTTGAGTAATTTATGAAAGGAAACCTGGTAAATTTTGAGTGGTGAGGCCTTTTAGGGAAGAAAGTATAAAGGACATAATTCATCAATGTACAAGATAAATTCTATTTGGAGTTAATATAGTTGTTTATACTGAAATATCAGGAAAAGAACTCACGGCGATTGGTGGCTCCTAGTTCCCTTCCTGAAA